TAGAGAAATCAGGAGTAAAGTTAAACCCAGGAAGAGAGAGGGGTGGGGGGGAAGGTGCTTTTAAGATTTGGATTTATTTCTCACTATCCTACTCTGATTTGATTGGTAATAAATTAAACTAATTTCCCCAAGTTGAGTCTGTTTTGTCTGTGATGGTAATTGGTGAGTGATCTCCCTGTCCTTATCTTGACCCATGAGCCTTTCATTATTTTCTCTCCCCTGACCAGCTGAGGAAGGGGAGTGATAGAGTGGCTTTGGTGGGCACCTGGCATCCAGTCAGGGTCAGCCCACCACAGGGGGAAATGAGGAATTGTCAGACTTGCTGCTAGCAATTTTTCTTTTCACTTGATAAGAAAGATGAGAACCAGTGGGTAGAAGCATGGAAAATACAGCCCAGTCAGTAGGATAGTTTTAGAAAGATACCAAAATCTGTCATCAGCAATCAAGATACACCCATAGATGAAATTAAGCCAGTTAATGCTTCCTTTCTAGTAAGTCCCAAGGTCCTCCCTGTAGCTGGTGGAGTTTGTGACAAGTACTCCTTTCTGGAGGGAGTTTTCTGTGTGGATAATAGAGGAGCTACTGTTTGGGAAAGGGCATGGGTTATGTCGGCAGTGAAGATGTATCCAGGCTGCAGAAAGCCTAAGATGCTAGTTTGGAAGCTGAGAAGGGGGGGTTAAGTGGCCACATTAAAAATGCAGTAAAGCAGGGGAAGGTTCTCAGAGCTTCAAAGTTTACTGTAGTTTCTTTTGATGCTGTAATAGGTGACTTTAAGAAATAAGCATGGAACTCAAGGAACATGTGTGGACCCTGGAACACTTCTATGATGTACTGCACATAGCTATGAGTCATGTGAGCAGGCTTTATTATGGGGAGGAACACTACCTTTTTTCCTTTCTGAATTCAAATCTGGTTCTAGTAAAGATGACTGCAGAGTAATTGCAATTTTACTCACTAAGCCATAGCTGCAATATAAAGTCCTTAATAAATAAATAAAAACTTCTTTTGTGTGTGGCTGAGAGTGCCTGATCCAAATTTTTTGCTTAGATGTTTAAAGGAATATAAAATTGCCTGGTAACTTTGTTTCCTAATATGCCTCTTTGAATATTATTTATCGCATGATTTTATTAACAGGTTTTATTTATTACATACTGCAAGTTCTTACATAAAGACTAGGTCCTTTGTTAGTTAATACAGATACTGCCTTAGAGTTAATGTACCTGTATAATATTTCATAATATGTTCAGAGCACATAGTTAATCACCTGTAACCCTCCTTGCTTACTTCACTCATAAGTTTCGTGGGTTTTTTCTCCTGCCTTCATGAAATGGTGACTTCTGAGCTTATTGGAGGGGGTTTATATCTAGAAGACTTGTATTTAAGAATTCAGAATATTGCTGTAGTTAAGTATTTTGACAAATGCCTCCTTCTTGCACTTTCATCGTTTCTCTAAAAGATAAATGTGAGGTTTAGCACCTGCAGAAGTTTCTATTAGAAATCCTGTTTTGATGTGTTCATAACTTTCTAAAACATTGATCTTTCAAGCTGAAAGTTACTGCGTGTTTTTTGCACAAAGGTATTTGCAAGTCCTTTTTTAAGTTTATATATTTTGTTTTCTTTTTGACCTATGGCAATGTGGCAAAAACCAAATCCTTAGTAATAGAAAAAAATTTCTTACTTTGAAAAAAGATTGAAAACAAATGGCTAAAGCTTGAAAATACTTTTTCAACAAAATAACATAGTTTGGAGGGGAGAAATGTATCGATCATTCATGATAGTTGGTTGTCTCTAAGGTGAACTTAGCATGGCTGTGTGCCTTTCCGTATGTGTGCACAGTTAATTGAACGTACACTCTCCACTTTTTTATGATCCAGCAGCCTCTTCTGTTGAAATCAATGATCCAAGGAGTCTGGAAGGTCAAGTTTAATAATGAAATACTTGGGTTTTATTTGTATTTTCAAGGGAAACCAAATGCAACACCCTGTGACTTTTTAAAATTCATATTTTCATGTCAGAGTTTTAATGCTGTTAGCTTAGCTGTGTTGCATAAATACTTTTGCAGGTTTAACTCTGTTTACTTTTAAATGATCACATGTTCTTTC